AGCACTCTGGGAGGCCGAGGTGGGAAGATCACTTGAGCTCAGGAGCTTGAAACCAACCTGAGCAAGAGACCCCATTTCTACTAAAAATAGAAAAAATTAGCTGGGCGTGGTGGCACGTGCCCATAATCCCAGCTACTCAGGAGGCTGAGGCCAGAGAATCGCTTAAGCCCAGGAGTTTGAGGTTGCTGTGAGCTAGGCTGACGCCACAGCACTCTAGCCCTGGCAACAGGGCTGACTCTGTCTCAAAGAAAAAAAAAAAAAAAGAAAACACTCTTATAGCCCTATAGAAAGCCATGGTGTGTCCTTAACTGTTGTGTTTGGTTGTGCTCACTGTACCTAAAGAAAGATTCAGTGAAAGACCAAACAAGTCAGGTAAACAGAATGATCAATAAGACAGGTAATATGATGAGTGAAAAAACTAACAAGCTTCCATTCTGGAAGGACAAAGACTACTGTATATGTAAGAGTCTATAAAATCAGATAGAAACTGGAGGAGGAGGTCAGAAAGGCTGTTTACCGTATTTCAGGAAGAAAAAAAAGAATTCTTTGAAGATTTGTGAAGGCATTTAAGACAAAAGCATAACTTCACAGTAATCCCAGCACTCTGGGAGGCTAAGACAGGAGGATCCCTTGAGGTCAGGAGTTTGAGCCCAGCCTGAGCAACATAGTGAGACACTGTCTTTACAAAAAATGGAAAAATTAGCTGGTCATGGTGGTACATGCCTGCAGTCCCAGCTACTCAGAAGGGTGAGGTAGGAGGATCACTTGAGCCCAAGTATTTGAGGTTGCAGTAAGCCATGATGATGCCACTGCACTATAGCCCAAGCAACAGAGCAAGACCCTATCTCAAAAAGAAAAAAAAAAGTACAACATTGCAGAGCAGGCAGCCTTATATGAAAAACTCCCAGATGGCCTCAGACAAAACATAAAATTGAGTTCCCAAAAGATCACATTAACTATCAATCCATAAAAGTGGTTACTATGGAATTACACAATTCTCTGTGTTGCATCTTTGAGGTAGACACTAGTCTTTTCCCAACTCCTTCTATATTAACTATATTTAGCTCCTCAGTTAAAAAAAACTGAAAACCAGGCCGAGCACGGTGCCTCACACCTGTAATCCTAGCACTCTGAGAGGCCAAGGCAGGAGGATCACTTGACTTCAAGAGCTCTAGACTAGCCTGAGCAAGAGTGAGACCCCATCTCTACTAAAAATAGAAAAAATTAGCTGGGCATGGTGGCACGTGCCTGTAGTCCCAGCAAGTTGGGAGGCTGAGACAGGAAGATCGCTTGAGCCTGGGAGTTTGCGGTTGCTGTGACGTAGGCTGATGCCACAGCACTCTAGCCTGGGCAACAGAGCAAGACTCTGTCTCAAAAAAAAGAAATCAAAACAAAAAAAAACCCTGAAAACCAGCTCAGTGTGTAATTTCGTTTTTAAAAGTTTTTTATTTTAATTATTATGGGCTTATAATAGTTGTATATCTTTATAGGATACATGTGATGTTTTGATGCAGGCATACAATGTGCATTAATCAAATCAGGGTAATTGGAGTATCCATCACCTCAGGCATTTATCATTTGTTTGTGTTAGGAACATTCTAATTCCATACTTTTAGTTATTTTAAAGTATACCCTAACTTATTGTTGATTATAGTCACTTTTTTGTGCTATCTAATATTGTTCATCTATTTGCACCCATTAACCATCCCCAGTTTATCCCCTTGCTCTTCCTAGCCTCCGGTACATGTCACCTTTAAGAACTGTCCAAGAGATTGGATAATCTCCATATCCCCCAACCCCACCTCACCCCGCCCTTGCAAATTCTGAAGTTTAAGTATTCAATAAACCTGCCTTTTATCATTCATTCTTTCACTTAGCCAGGTATGGAATCTGGACCTTTTATGATCCTCTCTGAAATCTTTCTTGTAGATAAGAATCACATGAGAGATCTTTATAAGAAAGTCACACTATGGTCCACTAACTTTCACATAGTTCATTCTTACTCCTTCAAAACATTTCAATAGTACTTATTGCTCCAAAACAGATCCGATCCAGTACTAGTGATTTGACCATTTCCAACTCAGCTATAGACAAACTGTAATTAGATCTAGAACATCCTATGCATTTACTATATGATCTAGCACCTCTAACTTCTAATCAATTTGAAACAGGTACATTTCTGTCTTCTTTTCTACCAAAACAAATCTTTTCCATTATGAACATTAAGTGGCCCCAGTGATTTCTTTTTTTCCTCTGACAGAATCTTTTATTTTGGCTTTAAAGCCTCAGAAAAGGTGCTACTGGCATACTTTCTTGGCCTGCCTAATTTTAGGTTGCACTTCATGCCAAGAAACAGAAACAAAATTAAATTTCTTTAAATACACCAGAGATGAGCAATACAAGCAAATTAATCTGATAAAAATATTTCCAAGACAGAAAAAAAGCCTCTTCTTATAGAGAAAAATTCAGAATTCCTTTTTTCTCAGTAGTTGCCCAAAAGATTTTTATTAAGTTTATTAAGAAACAGGGATGGGGCAAGGTGGCTCATGCCTACAATCCTAGCACTTTGGGAGGCCAAGGCAGGAGGATATCTTGAGGCCAGAAGTTTGAAACCAGCCTGGGCAACAGAGCAAGACCTCGTCTCTACAAAAAATAGACAAATTAGCCAGGTAAAGTGGTGCACACCTGCAGTCCCAACTACTTGGGAGGCTGAGGCAGGAGGATTGCTGGAGTGCAGGAGTTTGAGGTTGCAGTGAGCTACAACAATGCCACTGCACTCCAGCATGGAAAACAAAGTTTCCGAAGAAAAAAAAAGAAAGAAACAGACACAAGCCAAGTACAATCCAACTGTGTTTCTACAGGAAATAAAATCATTTAATAACTACATTTCCTTAAAGTAGGAAGGAAATCTAATGTTTACCAACTAAGAGATCTAAAGAAATCCAACTATCTTTCAAATCATCCCAGCATCCAATTTCAAGTAAATATCAAGATACATTTTCATAAGAAGTAACATTTTATTAATTGTAAACACATAGCTTAAAACAGCTTTTCACATGATAAATAAAAACAAAATTCCACACCAATTCATTGACGTACAATATGCCACCTCACATATGAGATTAACAATGCTACTAAAAAAGGTCTGGTTAGTTTTCCATGAATTGGGTCCCACTGTTAGTTGTATTCTCGTTTCCTAAAAAAAGTGCATAGCAGAAAGAAGCCACAAAACTAATGTTGACAGACTCAGATGAGCATGAACGCTACATTACTACTAATAAAGGCTTTGTACTTATTTTATTAAATTATCCTATTAAAAATGGGGAAGTGCACAAGAATGACTCCCCCATGACATGGCACATAAAATTAACAAGTACAATTCAATTAAATTCTCAGCAGCCTTACACATTTTGCATACTTGTCGACTGATGTTAAATATTCAACTTTCTGTACCAGAGGAGATAGCCAAAAAAAAAAACCCAAACAAATAAAAACAAAAAACAAAAAAAATCCCCACGTTATTATCTTCCTTAAAAGAAAGGCTTCACTGACAACGATAAATTGTTTTAAATCCACAACTTAAAAAGAACTCAAATGTCAAGTTTACCCACTTTACCACATAGCAAATCAAAGTTAACTGAACAAATAAAATTGACCCTAACACTAGTTGATAAACACTGCTAGAAACCTAAGCACTAGTTTCAGCAAACGCATAGAAACACCTTTCAAAACATCAGTATAGCAAAGACTTACACGCCTTCTACCCATACATACATTTACTCTTACTTGGACTCAGCGGTAACAAGGAACAACTCAGCTCCTCTAGAAAACTAAGAAAATTAAATCTTGAGTTAAGAAGGGGTTATGGCGGAACAACTTAAAGGGCAGGAAAGTATTTGTATTTATTGAGAACCGACTATTTTGTCCACTTATATTAGCTCAACAACATACTCATCTGAATTGGAAGAAAACCAACCCTCCTAAAAAGCAATCTGGAGGAGTGGTAAAGATAGACAACTGGACGTTCTCTCACATCACTATCAAACCGCTCTGGCCCACCGCCTTTCCATTCCTCAGGGACCTCAACACACTGGGCCGCGGTCAGGGAGCCGGCGGAATCTCCTGTCAGACGCCGGCCACCCGCGCTCCTGTCACCTCTGGTGGGATGACCCCATCCCGAGAGCACTGCCCGCTGGGGCTCAGCTCGACTCCGGGAGACCCGGGGGTGGGGCTGGGCGAGAGGAGCCTTCTAGGCAAAGCTGTGAGAGCTCCGAGTCCTGGGGCAGCCCGAAAGCTAGGAGGGGCGACCCTGGGACAGAAGCCGCGACATCCCTCGGGATCCCCACGGAGGGAACCAGGTCAGCACTCGGGATACTCGGACACCCCCAGCTCTCCGCGTGACGCCAAGTCGGACCCAATCCCCTGGCATCGCGCTGGGCCCTTCACTGAAACAGGACGGGATACCCGGCAGGGGACCAGCGGAGAGAGGAAGGGCGGGCCGCCAGGCGCCCCACAGCCGGAAGGGGCGAGCCCCGCAAGCAGGGCACCCGCCCCGCGGGGCTCACCTTAAGGTCGTTCTCCGGAAGGTACTTGCACAGCCGCGCTATCTCCACATACTTGTCCAGGTCTAGCGGCGCCATTTTAGGAATTACAAGCCGCGGCAGCAGCTGCGGCGGCGGCGGCGGCGGCGGCTGTAGTAGCGGCGGCAGCGGCGGAGGCCGAAGCCGGAACTCTTCCTACGTCACGTCCGGCCCGTGAGTGGCGTCTGCGCAGCGCCGTTAAAACTTGACCTGATTCTCCCGCTGTCTTCGGGCGACCTGCGCCCTCTCTCGCTGAACTCAAGCGGCAGGCCCCAAGAGGCCCCTTCGGTCCAGCCAGCGAAACCTGCTGGGACCCGTAGTTGCCTGCCGCAGAGAGTGCTGGAATTTGTAGTGTTCAGTTGTGAACAGTTCCCCCACTTTTCCTCTCCTTCTCTTCCTCCTGACTTTCACCTTTGGGGACCCAGCGAGGCTTTTCCGAGGCAAAACGGCGAAGTAGGTGACCCTAGCCATTCCCTGGTTTCTTATTGCTACCCTTTTAAGAACTGTCTCATCAGAACTTCTTCAGTGAAAAAGTGGGTAAGCTTGAATATAGTAACCTGTTTGCACCTTTCCAAGGCCTTGTGAAAACCTGTGCCAGAGATGTCAGGCTCCCAGTCTTCTGGCATGGAAGGAAGGGAAATAAATACTGAAGCGATTTTTATGCTAAATAGTATACAAATGATATTTTTTTCCGTTTAATCTTCATTACGACTGATAGGAAAGCGAGACTTGGTAGACGTTAAGTAACTTGCCCCAAATATCGCAGGGAAAAAGTGGCGGAGCCAATATGGAAAATAGGTGTGCTAGCTTAAGCATACTTCCAATTTTGAGTCCCAGGAGGGCAGGGAGTTTTTTGTTGCATCCCCAGCGGCAAGAATAGGACCTGGCATTTGGTATACCTTCAACATTCGTTCACTCAACAGCTATTTATTGAGCACCAACTATGTGCCAGGTACAGTTTAGGTGCTTGGGATAGTGAACAAAATAGACGAACATGTCTATCCTCAATCCGTAGCTTACATTCTAGAAGAGGAAGACAGAACCTAAAAACGATAAATATAATACATGACTTTATAGCATATTAGAAAGTGATAAGTGGTAGGGGAAAAAAACATAGCAGGATAAGGGAGAAGGAGTGATGCATTTTTAAAAACCAACAGAAGCGGAGAAGTTAGCCATGCAGATACCTGGAGGAAATTATAGGGAAGAGCTGGAGCAGAGGCCCTAAGATGGAAGCCTATCAAGAGTACTTGGAGGCCGGGTGCGGTGGCTCATGCCTGTAATCCTAGCGCTCTGGGAGGCCGAGGCGGGTGGATCGTTTGAGCCCAGGAGTTCAAGACCAACCTGAGCAAGAGCGAGACCCCGTCTCTACTAAAAATAGAAAGAAATTTGCTGGACAACTAAAAATATATAGAAAAAATTAGCCGGGCATGGTGGCACATGCCTGTAGTCCCAGCTACTCGAGAGGCTGAGGCAGAAGGATTGCTTGAGCCCAGGAGTTTGAGGATGCTGTGAGCTAGGCTGATGCCACAGCACTCTAGCCCGGGCAACAAAGTAAGACTCTCTCAAAAAAACAAACAAACAAAAAAAAACAGTACTTGGAAAACAGCAGGAAGACTAGTGTGGTTGGAGCAAGTAGGAGAGAAGATCAGAGAGAAAAGGAGAATGTTGATTTTTTAACTTTTAATAAAATGGACATATATTAAGAGGGTTTTGAGCAGAGGATTAAAATTATCTAACTAGTTTTAAGAGGATCATTGTGGCTACTGTATGGAACTGTAGATGGGCAACGGTTGCAGCTGAGAGACCAGTTAAGAAACTTATATAATCCAACAGTAGCAGATGCTCAATAAATAATTGTTGCTCAAGAGACCCTGGACTGAATCCTCTCACTCTAAAGTGTATTTTAAGGACAATTGGCTAAACTTTAGTGAGTTATCCAGGTGAAGTTCTTTGCATTATTCTTGTAACTGTTCTATTACGTATGAAATTGTTTCAAAGTAAAATTAATGTTAAAAAGTTTGTTGCAGGCCGGGCGCGGTGGCCCACGCCTGTAGTCCTAGCACTCTGGGAGGCCGAGGTGGGCAGATTGTTTGAGCTCAGGAGTTCGAGACTGGCCTGAGCAAGAGTGAGACCCCGTCTCTACTAAAATTAGAAAGAAATTAATCGGACAACTAAAAATATATAGAAAAAAATTAGCCGGGCATGGTGGCGCATGCCTGTAGTCCTAGCTACTCGGGAGGCTGAGGCAGAAGGATAGCTTGAGCCCAGAAGTTTGAGGTTGCTGTGAGCTAGGCTGACGCCACGGCACTCACTCTACCCCAGGCAAAAGAGTGAAACTCTGTCTCCAAAAAAAAAAAAAAAAAAGTTTGTTGCAGAATGAATGATGCCCACAAGCATTTATTTCTTCATTAATTCAACAAATAGTTATTTAGTACCTATGATGTGAATAAGACAGATATGATCCCTGCCCTAATGGATATTACAGTCTGGTAGGGGAGACAAACAATAAATGTATGGATGAAAATGGCTTAAAACAATGCCTAGCACAGAATAAGTATAAAGTGAGTATTAGCTCTGAGTGTTGGGTGGGCAGAAAAGGCTTTTCTGAAGAGGCAACACTTAAGACTTTAGGGGAAAAAAGTAAAGGGATAATATTTTCACAGCTTTCTGGAGAAAAAATTGCAAATGGGAAAAGATGCTATTGTTGTTTGGCTTTCCTTTCATTACAATCCTCTTTGGACAGCTAGCAGTTCACTTTTCATCTCTGAACCTCAGTAACTGGAAATAAATCCTACACAAGATACTTTCTCAGAAGTGGGAAGGAAGACAAATAGGGAGATGGATATGAATGTTCTTTCTAAACTGTAAAGTGCTTAAAAGGAAGGTGTCACCAGCATTCCTTGCTTCTCTTGCTGGTGAGTCAGTGAATAGGTCAGTGGTGTGCCGTTCCAGTACGTGGCTGTCCTCACAATACCACATTGCCTAGCAGCAAGAAGCTCCCTCCTGCAGACCCACCTCATTGAGTGAACATCACTCTTCACATCCACACCAGAGAAAAAGGAGGAAAACATTCATTCCTTGGAGTGCTAGGCAGGTTTTTGGGAGAGGTGATAGACACATCGACAGATCAGGTGGTTTGGTATACAATGTACAGAGCTCAATGACTGGAATGTGTTCCTAGTTCTCTTTGTACAAAGCAAGAGATTCTGCCATTTATATGGGTAAGTCATGTTAAATCACTGGGTCTTGATTTCCATTTTAAAATATAGATCTCAAACATTTCTTTTAGCATTCTCAAATGTGATTTCTACTCTAAAAACATAGGCCCACATCCTCCTGTATACTTTAAATCATCTCTAGATTACTTAAATAATCAGTAATTTAAGTGTGATACAATATAAATGCTATGTGAAAATAAATAAATAAATAAAAGCATAGGTCCCATAATGACAACTGGTTGCTATTTTGCCCACAAATCTCTTCCAAATTTTTTTGTTGATGTGCCACTCCAGCATGGCACCTTGAAATAGACCTAACCAAAAATACAGGGAACATCAAAGCATTCTGCAGCTCTGAGCAGAAATCTCAATCCAGATGCACATGGACATATGGCAGAGCCAACATGGCCTTGATTTTCTTTCATAAAGGAGAGCATAGTGACTCTTGAACTCCTCTTTGGTAGATAGGCAGTGGGGATTTTTCCATTAATATGGGAATTCATAAAGACTCCACGTGTTTGAAATAGGATATTTGAGCAATGAGGAGAGCTGCAGACCTTGAATTCCATTTTGTCAATAAATTTTGGTTATGGTTTTAAGTAGCTAAAAGATTCCTTTCACCAAGGTGGCCTTTTACCTGTATTCTCAAATCCTCTAACGGCTCTTTCTGCACAATAGGTATTACTATCCCCATTCTATAGATGAGGAAACTAATGTTCAGAGTGGGTAATGAACTTGCCAAATGTCAGAGGCAGATGGTTAGTGCTGGAGCCTGGATTTGAACGCAAGTATGTCTGACCTCTTCCCACTAAGCTACCATAGCTCTGTACTCTAGGAGCTCTTGTTTCCAACCTCAGCTGTTTCCTCTATTTCCTAGGACACAACAACTGTAAGTGGGGTTCTCAGAGACATAAGTGAGCCACCTCTCCCATTTTCAGGAAAGTCATAGGGAACCTAGAGTGATGAACTGGATCAGAGATAATGCAGATTAACACGTCTAGAGACATTGTTCATTTTTAGCCAGGAATAACCTTAACCTTGACAGAGGACTAGCTCTGCACCAGCCGTTAGGTACTAAGCACTTTACATGCATTATCTCATATATTCCCCACAACTATGACAGAAATCTTAGTAGCTCCGCGTTACAGACGACACAGACTCAGAGAAAAGTAACTTCCCCAAGAACAGATAGTCTCATTGATGAATTTTTTATCCCTCGCACTCTTTACAATCGTACCTAGTTGTCTTTTTGTTTAATCCCTGTCTAGAGTGTAAGCTCCTGGAGGCCAGGGTGTTGTCTTGCTCAGCATAGCCCCTTCCTTAATGACAAAAGGCATTTATGGAATGAGCTACTTAAAGCACCAAAGCTTGGACTGGCCTAAAGACTGCTCAGGCAGACTGCAGACGTAAGAAAGCACACTCTCCCCTTTAGAAACCATTTCTAACCACCGCTGTAACTGAAAATGTAACTGTTAGCCTCTTTAGGCTAGATCAGCTGCGGAAGGAATTCAGGTCACCCCACGGACGCCCAACCCCCGGCATTTCGCTTGTAAATCGTTTCCAAGGAGCCCTGGCTTATTTACTCCTCAGGGGAGGGAGGGCCGGGCCGTTCGGGTCCCGAGAAACACAGCCGGGCGGACACGCGGGAGCTGAAGGCGCCTCCCCGCCCTGCCGCGGAAGGAGCAGGGCAGCGGTTGGCCCCGACTCTCTTCCGGGGCCTGCGGGGAGGGGCGAGGGCCAAGCCCCGCCCCCACGGGGCGGAGCCACAGCCCAGGACTGACTTAAGCCACTGAAGGTAATGCGGTGCGGGACTTGGGGGGGGTCTTAGGACCTCGGTCCTAGCAGGATCCCAGGCAAAGGAGGCCAATATCCTCCTTTGAGGAGAGTGGGCTCGGGCTGGGTGGAAAGAGCTGGGGAGGACCTCCTTGGCCTCTGGCCCTGCCACACTGACCGAAAGGAACCAGCCTATTCTCTCCCGACCCTGTCTCCTGTGCCCTAGAACTGCCACGTGGGGATGAGACTTGGGGGGTGGGTAGTGGGGGCGGCAACAGGAGGTCCCTGCCCCCGCAGAGCCAACCCCACTGAGCTCTGCATTTAGGTCGGTGGCCTACGCCGCAGGTAGGATTTATCCGTTCATCTCTCCATTAACCCATTTTCCTTCTTCAGCCCCTCACCCCTCACTCACTCTACTCTATGCCCGGTCCATTGGTAGATTCTCTGAGAGAATCTGACAGGACCAGCCCTCTAGGAATTTAATCTAGAATCTAGTCTAAAGATTTTTAAATAGATAATTACATTCAGAGTGATTCCTACGTTGACGGTGGCTTAATAGATAGCTTCACAGCCCGAAGGGAGAAGGAAGTAACTTGGGGGGAGGGGGTGGAAGTGGAAAGCAACACATCAGGGAAGGTTTCACTGAAGAAGGGACTTTTGAACTTGACTGGGCTTTGGAGGTTTACTAGGAGTTTGCAAATTTACCAGAAGGGAAAGGGACATTCCAGCAGGGGAAGCAGCGCAGGCTGCAGAGTTATGAAAAGCCCTGCCATGTTAGAGGAACAGCAAGCAGCCCAATGTTGCAAGAGATTGTGGAGGTGAGTTTCAGGAAAGAAGGTTGAGACCAGAAGGCCTTACCTTCTATGCCATGCTGAAGCCAAGATTTATCCTGGAGTTCAGTATTTCTCAGCCTCTTTAAATGTTTTATCGTTTGATAAACATAAACAACTTATGACCTCTGAAATTTTATTTTGATATATGCCTCTTCCTCACGGGAATCACAGATGGAAAACTGTAGCCAAAAAACTTCGGTAGTTGTGTTAAGAAAGTTTTATTATGTTTTAACAGATTACCACAAGTAAAAAAAAGTTGTGTTATATTTGGCTCCCAATTATAAGATTATATCAAAAGGTTGGTAATGCTTTATTCAAATTAATTGGGCCCTAGAAATTGCTACATTCAACAGAAAAGGTTTTAAAGAAGAGGGTAACCTGATTTGTCCTGTGTTTTAGGAAGAAGACAGTCATAAATGTCTAAAAAGTGCCTTTCTTTCTTATGCATAGGACACCATGAAGCAGCTGCCAGTCTTGGAGCCTGGAGACAAGCCCAAGAAAGAAACATGGTCTGTAAGGAAGGATTCAGACACAGAAAAACATGAGTTTTTATTTCATTTAGAAGTAGTTTACTAACATCTGATCGTCTATGAAAAAGGGTAGGGATGAAACTGTCTGCAGTTTCTGGTAATTAGACTCAAACCATCTGAGAAGGTCTTCAGAGGAAAGATAGGGGAGCAATAATTATCACAGAACAGATGTTGATTTTATTAAAATCCATTTATCAGGAAGAGTAAGGCACTGACCATCTGGCATCTTCAGTTCCAAAGCTGTGTCTTCCCCCGAGCTGTGACTCATTTTTAAGATTTTTAGGAAATTAGATTTGGGTTAAACTGGCTTCACTGTTTATTGGCTGCTTGTTCAACCAACCCTAATTCAACAAATAACACTGGGCTGACAGGGGCAGCTGCTGTGTAGGTGTTGGAGGTACAAAAGTAAATAGTTTCTGTGTAGGTGGGGCTACACAGCAGCAGGTGATGGTGATAAGGTGTGACCAGTGCTGAGGGAGGACCACAGAAGGCTATAGAGAGGTGGCAGTGTCTGCAGGACCTTGAAGTAGAGCCTCTAATCTAGCTTCCCTGTATCCATCTTGCTCTGTGTCCAGAATACATCTTGATCATGGCATTCCCTAGTTTAAAACCCTTTTGTTCCGCCCTATTGTTCTTAAGATAAAAACCAGACTCCTTACACTGGCGCATTGGGCCATGCAAAATCTGTTTCTGTCTGTCTTTCCAACCTTTAATCCCCTTGCTCATTCCTTTGTTCCCTTTCTCTTCCTTTAAGGTTCTCTGCACTCTCCCACTCAGGTACTGTACATGCTGGTCCCTCTGCTTGGGCTATTCTTTCCCTCCACCTTCCATCTCTGTCTTTGCCGAGGAAATGTCTACTCATACTTCAGATCTCAGTTCAAATGGTGCATCTTTGGGAAACCTCTTCTGACCACCCATTCCCCACTCCTTACAGGGTAAAGCCCTCCTGTGATTTGTTCATTGGCTGGTGGCAAGATCCTTGGGGCTGTAGGTTCCTACTCAATTGCTCATGAAGCTCTAGCCACCATTTATTGAGTTTTTCCCTGTACCATTATGAGACCTTGTCTTAGTCTTCACAGTCAGCTTTTGGGGTGAGAACTATTGCTGTGCTTGTTTTACAAATGAGGAAACTAAAGTTCAGAAAGGCTAAGTGAGTTCCAAAGGGTCATACATCTAGAAAGTACCTGAGCTGGGACATGAATCTGTCTGAATTCACAAACTATGTTTGTAGCCACCATCCTGTGCCGAGACATAGCAATGAACATTTCTGGATGTCAGTTTCCCTATCTACCAAATGGGGACAATTACTAGCCCAGTGCATCCCCACTAGATTACTATGAGATGAAAATTGTTACAAAATTGAAAAGCCAAAGTCTGTATGCAAAGGGAAGGTGGGAAGTTACTATTATTAATCAGGGAAGTGCTGCTTTGCTGGATACAATGTAAAGTGTCTAGGTATGTATAAGACCTTTCATTCTGATGAATATTTCATGAGGAATGGAAAGGACACACTGCTGCATCTATTCTCTGCTCAGGCCTCCTGAACAGATCCTCCCTTTGGCAGGTATACCTTGACTCTCCCTGGAGACAGCCCCTGTGCTCGAGTTGGCCATAGCTGCTTATATTTACCCCCAGTTGGTGATGCCAAGAGAGGGAAGATCTTCATTGTTGGGGGAGCAAATCCAAACAGAAGCTTCTCAGATGTGCACACCATCGATCTGGGTAAGACCAGCAGCTGTGGAGCACATGCCGGACGGCCAGAGAACAGAGCTTTGTGCTGCCAGCTGTGAGCAGAGCATTCCTAAGAACACCAGTTCAGACTAGACTGCGGGGTTTTCCTGTAAAAAAATGAATATCACTGACAGGTCCCTAAGATCCCAGCAGACCCCTGGCACACATTCATATGAGCAATACCTCCTTATTTGGGGGTAAAGAACCCATATGGAGCCCTGACCATCCAGCCATTTACTTATCAAATATTCTCTCAGAGACATCAGTGACTCCCACGTCTCCTTCTACCCACATATCGAATTAATCACCAAGTCCTAAATATCTCTTATCTTCATCCATGTCTGTCCATTTCGACTACTACTACTGTAAAACAAGCCGCTGTTATCTCTCAACTAGACTGTTAAAATAGCATCGTCCCTGGTCTCCCTATTTCCAAGTTTATCCACTATGCAGTGCATTTTCCATACCTATCCAGAGAATATTGTCTAAAATACAAATCTGACCATGTCACTCCCCCATTTCAAGCCTTTCCCAACCTTATTTCTTGGCTCTCTCTAACCCACATTTGCTGCACTGAATATCCTTCAGTTCCTTGAGCACATCTTAAACTCTCTGGCCTCCAAGCCTCTGCACGTAATGTTCCCTCTCCTTGGAAGCCTCTTCCCTCGCCTTATTATCTGGCTACTCTTCTCCTTTCTGATCCCAGATTAAATGTCACTTCTGTCGGGCCACTTTCCCTGATACCCCTAAGACTCGTTTAAGCACTACCTGACTCTATGTGTCCATGGTATGAACTTTTCTATCCCCCTTCATACCCCTGACACATGTGATTGTTTCTTATCTGTCTGCCCCACACAAGGGAACATGGTTATTTTGCTTATCACTGTAACCCCAGTCACTCCCATGGTGCTTAGCACAGAGTAGGTGCTCTATAAGTATTTGGAAGAATGAATGAATGAATGAATGAACTAATAACAAGTGATTACTGTATACTATATACAAGAGCAGAAGTTGAAAACTGGTGACCCACATCCATGTTCTGTTAGATCCATGTAACATTGCCACGTTGTTTTAATCTTGAATTGTTTCCCCACCTAGTGTGCAGGAGTCTACATATAAAAATCGAGGGCTAGGCGTGGTGGCTCATGCCTATAATCCCAGCACTTTGAGAGGCTGAGGGAGAGGGATGGGCCTGGGCAACATAGCGAGACCCCATCTCCACAAAAAATTTTAAAATTAGCAGGACATGGTACCCACATCTGTAGTTCCAGCTACTTGGCAGGCTGAGGTGGGAGGATCACTTGAACCTAGGAGATCAAGGCTGTAGTGAGGTATGATCACACCACTGTACTCCAGCCTGGATGACAGAGTGATACCCTGTCTCTAAAAAAAAAGAAAAGAAAAAAAAATTGAAATCGTTTGGCATCTCTTGACAATTTTGGGAGATCTGACATCAGTAGGCCTGCATGT